TCATAGAAGTCACCAATTTGTTATTAGCAGCATAAGGTCCGAAAGACCTGTGGTCAAGGTGAACACTTAAGAAATTGATAAGCTGTCCTGAGTCCAGTGCAACCCTAACGCCTATCGAGCGATTTGTGCTTACTTTCGTTTGCATGAGCATCTAGACAAAGTTATTCCATTACAGTACGCAAGATACCAAATGACGCAAATCTCCACAAATGCGCTGCACCTCGTGTTTAGTTAGAATGGCCACATCTGGATAAGCGACATCTCCCGTTATCCCTTTCCAAGGAATTCCCAAATAGCTCAATAAAGTCGGTAGAACATCCTGTTTTTGCACTTCCTGTAAGAAGTTGGATTAATAGTAGCATTCGCACAATTTTAGTAAACGAACTTGCAACGCTACTACGTCAGGATTGACGAGCATAATGTGTTTGGCAATTTTATTAAGTCCATCTTCAACGTGTACTCCAGAATTCCAGGTGTTGAAGGTCATCACTCGAATCTTATTCGCGATAATAGTCTTCGTCGCGAGAAAGACAATCACAAAAATGTAGCAGATTCTCATTCCTTAAAAGAACAAACAATTACATCACTTATAAGAGGCGGCTACCCAATTTTGCTTTGATGTCCACTAAGTCTCTCATAATTTTACATCTTCTGCCCGGTGGAGGACTATCTACTGCTATTCGACCCCTCCCTACACCGTTTCCATATTTTTTAGCCTATTTCAAGTTGTCTATGCTATCACGGTGCTCCTCTACCCTCTGCTACACAGAAACCAAATAAAAAGCCTGCGTAAGGGTAATGGCTTTGAATAATCCTCCCACATATGTTGTTGCCCCTCATTTGTTGGAACGATGTCAACTTTCTACTCTGCCACAGCTTCTATGCTATGGTAATGGAAAGTATGACTTAACTAAAAAATTCTGTTTTTTTAATGAATTATCCCAGTCAATTCTCCATCTAACTTGGTTTAAAATAAAACAGAAAGCGCTCTGGGCGTTGTACTTCAGAATGTTGACCTTTCAATCTCCTTCTCACTGCGCTCCACGTCAGTTCAAGAAAACCTTAATTCTATTCACGCTAGTTTTTATGGAGTTCAAGTTTGTAAACAATGCATCCAAAAGGTCAAGAAAACTTTTTAAAAGTCAAGCCGAATATTTCCTATACGCTAAGTTCGAATAAAGGCTGACTTTAAAACCACGTTTCACACAAAATGAGCTTCTTCCATTATGTTTTGAAGAACTAATGCTTTTCTTGCATGAGTATGGGTGGGTCGACTCAATGCAAAAAGTTCCAAAACTGCGCGCACCCAGTGCCAGGATAGGCCTTAACAAAAAAAAAACAGACCATTTACTGTAAGCTTACTGGTATACGAATATTATATGTTCGTCAATGAATGAAAGCAGAATGAAGAGCTTGGTTTCAAGGCTTCTTTATGCTTGATAAGGAATACTTTATTGAAGAGAAAGTATGGTGGATAAGGTATTTAGAAGCACACTTATTGCTCAAAAACTAGAGGTGCGAAAAAAAGAAGCAACCGCCCTTTTAAAGGGGTTAATTTTGCAAGTTACCTTCAAAACCAATGGTTACGTGAAGTTGGCAAACATAGATTTTAAGGTTCTTTGAATAAGGTACTATTTTCTGAATCTTGTGCATTAATCCACATACGGTAATATGATCTTGTCTTTAATTTTGGAAGTAATTAACACTGGAAGAAATTTGAAACATGAAAAAGAAGCTCGGCTCTAAACAACCAACGTACTCCACTCTTAGTATCACCTACTGATATGGCTTTACCCTCCATATGTACAATGCTATTGACACAGCTACAAACTGAGCTAAGTGTAGAAAGAGTAGTTAGACGCATGCTTATGCACTCAATAACTAACACATTTTAACTTATACTTTATGCAAAAAGTTGGCCCAACGTGTGCTTGCATAAGTTCTAATGCATATGGGACATACTCGTTATGCCATAACTGTGCTTTGCCCCTAAATAAAACAGAGTAATGTACTAGGTTGTCGGACAGCATATATTTTTAAGTGGAAATTGTTTTGAAAAGTTGGAAGTTTTGGTAGCATAGTGTATATCGTTCAAACGTAAAAGTCTTTCTCTACAAAATAGTACTTGATTTGTTCAATGATTTCCTTTTTGTTGAGCTCAAAGTTGATGAATATGTGTTTTCAGAAAGCCATAAAAGCTTAATTACAACTTAATTTTTCTCAAATACAAGCAGCTTGAAAATTGCTGGAATATTACCTTGTGAGATAATTGGATATGCTGGTTACGGAAATCATTTCCATGCCCCACGATAAGATTATAATAGGCCAACACTATGGATTTATCTGAAAAGTGGTCCAGTGGGATACATTGCACAATAAGCCATCGGTTCACAATCAGAGCGGATGTTTGGTGGAATGTGAAAACCACCGATTTACTGAAAAAGAAAACATTCGACTTTATGTCTATCGTGAAAAATTGCTTTACGATGGGGAAGGGATATGATTCTCGGAACTAGTGTGTTATCAACCTCAGTGACCACTTTTCAAGCAAATCGGTAAATTTGGGCCTTCAGCGTACATTTACAGGAACCTTGTAGACGACTCTACAAGGAGAATGGCAATTATAATCAGCGTAGCAAACTGCCCCTATTAATCTTTTAATTTCGAGTTCCTCACAATATAGAAAAATAAGCTGTCTGTTAAATTTTTTATGGCAATAAGTGCACATTCCATTGCTTCTACTTGAAAAAAATCAAAATCATTGAACAAGTATAGCATAACGTTTTGTAGAGGGAGAATTCTACTGATATACTGTGCTGCTAAAACATCTGATTTCTCAAAACACTTTTAACGTAAATGAGAGAACTTATCCGACAACCAAATATTAAAAATAAAGGAAAATCTTAAAGTACACTATAGTAAGAAGAGAACCGCAGTACAGTCATAACCAAAAGAGTAGTAGTGGTATTGTACTTTGTCCTTATCTGGCTTACATCAAATAACAACTCCCATATCGAAGATGAAACTGATAAAGGGAAGCGAAACGCGAGAAACTGAAACCACCAAGGAAAATTACTGGTTC